GTGTCCAATCATCTTTTACCTTTGAGTCACGAATGACAAAACTCGCCAATCTAACTCTTCAAGTTCAAGAAGATTGAACAGGGGCAATTGTTGTACCCCAAAATTTGCCCTCTCATTTATCAAGACTTTTCTCACAAGACTTCTTGGACTCAAGACAAGATTAGGGTTTGGTCAGCTCAAGACATCTCATATTGCACTGATAACCCAAAATTAGGGTTTGAATTTGCACAAGGATTTTTGGACCACCAATGTTTCATTTGACTTTCATACATCATTTTGGACCCCTAAGATTGCCCATGTTAAGTTTCAAGCCTTGAACCACATTTTTGATCAGTCAATTGGACAGTTGACCTAAAAATCAGTTGTATTGGGGAAAAAGTCAACTATGGCCAATTTACAGTCAAACTCCATAATTTTTTATCCACATCAATATTTTAGGCTCATATGTACCATTTGATCAAGTTTGGATCACAACTCCTCAAGAAATTTGATCAAATCATCAAAAGGGTAAAATGGTCAAAATTAGGGTTTTGACTGAGAAAGGGCAATTTCTGATTTTTAACCTAGCCAATGACCATTTGAGTTCAAGCATGATTTCAAGGATTCAATGGCATCATCTTGACCTAATTACATGGTTCAAAAGATCTCAAGTTCATTGGATTGACAGATGAAATTTGCAGTCAACTGATCAAAAGTCAATTATGCACTGAAAAGTCAAACTTTGACTTTTTGGTCAAAATCAAGTGCCAAGGGTCATAATTCATCAAGATATGTCAAAATATGAAACTTGTTCACCAAGAAACTCAAATTTGAAAATTAGGGTTTTAATTTGAAAATTTTCATAACTTAGAATTTTTCTAAGTATAAAAATTTTCTTATTTTTTCCCAACTTTTCACCACTTTTTCACCATGATGCATTTTGATTCAAGAAAAGTTCCAAAAATGAAAGTTGTAGTCCTCCATAAAATCTACAACTTTTCTTCACAAACTTTTCCCTAAAGATGCTTGGATCTCAAGTTATGAATTTGTGAATATAGGGCCATGAACTAAATAACTTAGTGAAATTTTGCCTTAATTTAGGCAGGTTTTGGACCCAACTTCATGGACATTTTTCACATAGTTCCAAGATGTATCTCAAAATTCATTTCAAAGATGGATTATAGAGCATATTGCAAGCTTTCCAAAATGTCCAATAACTCTCCAAGATCATTTTTGAGTAGGGAGAATCGAAGAAGGGAAGTTGGCATTTTCTCACTTTTGTTCAAGCCATTTTCACATAGCATCAAGTTGCAAATCAAAACTATGCTGGTTATATCTTGCTTTACAGGTCCTAAGCTGGCTATACACTCCATAATTAAATGCATACTCAGTTGACAAAGACTTTATCTTTGCTTTTGAAGCTTTACACAAGATGTATTTCCATTTTGGGCAAAAAGGTTACAATGCCATTTTCATAAAGATGAACTTTTGCAACTTTGTCAATCTTGAGCATTGAACCTGTCCCCTTGATGCATACAAACCACACAGGTCTCAAGTAAGTTGTGCAAGCTCATACCAACCCTAAGCAAGTTGGTACAAGCATGTGAAGCATGAGTCTTGTCACTTTGCTTCAAGTACAAGAAAGTTGGCAAAAATGCTAGCATGGATAGATCTGTTGGGAAGCTGACTTTGGATCAGTTTTATACAAATATACAAACTTGGTACAAGGCATAACACGCTTGGTTTGGACTTGAAACACTCTGAAACTCAAAAACACCACAAAACTGCCCAAACTCACAGTTTTCTGCAAAAGCACAACCAACTCTCATTTGGCTCGTGCATTTTGTGTTTAATCACATCAAACATCTTATACACTTGCTACCTAGCCAATCCAAGCCATCACCCTGGTTCTGTAACCCCTGTTTCAGCATCTGCCATTTTCAATTTGGAAGCTTGCAGTTGGACTTGGTCAGAGAGTTCCAGCCATCCTCCGAGCAAGATAAGCATTGAAATAGCTTTAGGGAAGTTCAAGGAAGCTTAAACAATCACCAGGCCTCCATTAAAGTCCCTACATTGCCCTACTCGATTCCAGTTGAAGGAGGTATTTTTTCAAACTCTATCTCTCTGAATAGGCAACCTCAAGCCACGGTTTGTGAAGGAAAAATGTAGTTCTTATCATAACAAAGCTGTACATACCATTACTCTGCATTTATATTAATTATGCTAAGAGAATTTGAAGATTGAAAACTCTGAAAAATTTAGGTCACGAATTAGGGATTCCAAAATTCTCTTTGATCTTTAAGAGTTAGGTTATATAATTTATATGGTTGGAATCGTGAGCTCAAATGCCACATGTTTCATGTTATGAGTTTTTGTTTTTATGCAAGCATAAGCAAGGTACAGTTTGAATTGGAAAACGCGTGCAGGAAGCTGAACAAAGGACAGGGATGAAGTTCTGGGCTTTTTGGCGCCTGGGCCTTTTTGTTTTTTCTATTTGCACCCCCTGGCTAACTTTTTATATTTTTTTTGCATTTTTCTTCATATTTTTATATTTAATACTTTTATTTATTTTTCTTAATGATAAAAAATACCAAAAAATAATTTATTTATTTTCACAATTTTATTTTATTTTTTATTTATTATTTTCTCACATGAGAAATAGTTTATTTTGATAAATGAAATTTATTTTCTTAAATAACTTACAAATATAATTAAAAATACTTAATATTTTTTATTATATATTTTATACTCACAAATACTTATTTTCTACACATATTTAATTTTTAATATTTACATATAATATTATTTATTATTTTCTTATACAAAAAATGTACAAAATAATGATATGAAACATTTATTTTCTTTTAATTGAAAATTAGGGTTTCATCCCTTTCAAAAAGAATTAATTATTTTTCCTTATTTTTAGGTTTAAGTTAAATATTTCTTTTATACAAAAACAAGACATAAAAAAAATCTTTTCTTTTACATACATATTGCATTGTATTTTAAATATTTGTATTATATTTATTTAAATTCACGCATATTCAATTTGGTTGTAATAACATATTTAGTTTTATATTTATGCAAATCCCCATTCAAACTTGTATTTCCCCCTCCCATAAAAATTGTTGTAATAACTTAGTTTATTTTACGCAATTTATCGCTTTATATACTATGATTAGTAATTAAAGTTTGCATGACAAGAACAAAAACAAAGCAAAAATAGAAAACCCTAAATGCAAGACAAAAGCATGAAAATGATACACTTTGCACACAAGCACCCTTAGGGTTTCTCCCACTTGGTTGCCAAAAATAAAATGGCCATGTTACGCATGCGAATTATCTTGGCAAAACAAAACAAATATAAGATCATAGTCCCTCGATGACGCTATTCAAAAGTTGCCTAAACAAAATGATCTTGGTCCCTCAAAAATGCTAAAGATACTTGACAATATTGCTATCATGGTTATACGATGACCCATGCCCGTCCCGTTTACATCCAAAGATAGGGTTGCTTACCAAATCAATGGTAAGTCAACAATGTTAAAGGAATAAAAATGCACAAGAAAGACATTTGAGTAGGTAGATAGCTTCTAAGTTACTTGTTCCATTTCAAAATAATCCTTGTTATTTTCAAAAATAAACACACACACATTTCAAAACATCTTACAAAATATTGAAAACATTTTCAAAAGACAAACATCTTTGTATACATTCTTACGAACGAGAATCATTACAAAGATTGCTTAAACAAATGGACTATTTTCAAAATACTTTTAAAAACCACACCAAACACCATTTCAAACAAAACAAAGCAAGTGATCTAAACAAGTAACTAAGAGCCCATGGAAAACCATGGATGAAAAGGGTGCTAGCACCTTCCCTTTTCATAATCTACCCCCCGAACTCAAGAAAACATCTCAAAGGTCTTTCCTGTACTTTTTTACCTTTCCTTTTAGATAAAAGAAAAGTCGGTGGCGACTCTTGCTAAACCGCGACATTTGCGATAAAACGCAAAAACCTCAAGTCAGTTATCCCACCGCATCACAATAATGATGTCCCATTAAAAGCTTTCACCTCCCGTACCAATCAACCAAGATAAAACACGTATGCAAAACCCTCATCCTACAAATGAGAGACAAAGGCTTGAGGGCAACTGTTCTGGATCGTCCACAAGACCCAAGACGAAAAGCCTAATGGTAAAGCGAAAATGGTAAAACACGCAGAACATGTAGATCTCTATTTTCTCTATAACAAGTAATTCCGCTTACTGGAGCTCTATTGACCGTCTGAATCAATCTAAGGACTGACCATGATCCACGTCTCACTCTATGCTTTATGTTGTTAATCAACCCCTATATTTAAGAGGAAAGACACACCATTTATTAGGTATGCACATCCATTCTCACTTACATCATTTTTCATTCTCTTACTGACTTGAATGTTGAAGTGTTAATCTTGTAGATCAACCACCCCTCTTCCTTATTAAAAGTTCAAATTCACTATATTAAACTCCACATCATCAAAGGATTATGATTCCATCTAGGAACAAGAAAAAGTTACTACTATTTTATATAATCTTTCAAATTAGTAAAACCAGGTGTTAGATGCAATATTTGTTTCATTTTTTATTTTATATCATAAATATCTTTGTTTTTTTTTTTATTTTAAAATTTTAAAATATGCAATGGCTAAAAGATAAATGATGGTGTTTTGGACTTTTGGTGGCAAAATATAAGGAGCCTCCATCCAATCCACTAACCCTATAAGTTTTATCAATTTGTCGCTCGGTTGTAGTCACCGGCCTAAAATTGTTTTTCATCTAACAAATTTACGTTGCAGCCTCCCTCGGAACCCTAACCCTATCCCCAATCCCTGATCCCCACTTCGCAACCTTCTTCTCACTCTCTTCTTTCGCAGGTACTCTCATCTTCTGCTAAACCCTAGCTTAATCGATTATATTTTTGTTTGATAATTCGCTTAAACGATTAATTCAATTAACACGGTGAATTTTGCAGCTAATGGAAGAAACAAAGGACGAAGCTTACGAGGAAGAGCTTCTCGACTACGAAGAGGAAGAAGACAAAGCTCCCGACACCAACGGAGCTAAAGTCAACGGTGAAGCTACCAAGAAGTAAGCTTTCTCATGTTTCCTGCGAGATTGGTTGTAATTACTAAGTACCAATTCAAGTTTAGTACACGGTGTTTAGGTTTAAGACATAGATCTATGATGTTTTCTGCATGTGGTTTATATATTTGTGTTTTTTGTATGACAGGGGCTATGTCGGAATCCACAGTTCAGGCTTTAGAGACTTTCTTCTCAAACCAGAGCTTCTTCGGGCTATTGTCGATTCGGGATTTGAACATCCATCTGAAGGCAATTTGTTAATTTGAATCTGTTTTCATTTATTTATTTTCAGTTTAACTGTACTTTTACTTATGCAATTCTGGATCCTTGAGCTTTTTTATTACTCAACTGTGATTCTTCTCTCATATAGTTTGTTTCTACCTAATATCCTTGTTTGGGTTGATGGAACCGGATGGGATGGAATGGAGTGGAGTGGTATTCCACTGTTTGGATAATTTAAAATTGGATGGAGGAGCGGAATAGAGTGGTATGTGGTATGGATTCCATTTCATTCCTATCACTTACCACCTTATTTCTTATCCTCCGATTTGTGCGGAATGAAGAATTTGACTTGTTCCGTCATAAAATTTTCAAACATAGCCTAAGCCCTCATTGGCTGGTTATAACTTTGCGAAGTTGGTTAAGTTATAACTTTTGATAAAATTTTAATTGCAGTTTTAGCTGGTGTGATGTGGGTTTGAAGATAAAATTTTGTTGTTGTTTTTATTTATTTAAAATTTGAGTGAAATTTATATTTTGTGAATTGTGAGTTTTAAAGTAAATAAGTAAGAGATGAAGGGAATCAATTTTAAAATTGGAGGATTAAATTCATTCAAAAATTTGGTATTAGTGGTTTTTAACTACACATATTGCACGTCTGAATGTTTTTTCATTCATTCTTATGTAACCTTTGTTTAATGTTATGCTCTATATTCATAGAAATGACAAGTTAACTGAAATCAATTTTGTTTACCACTTTACAGGTAATACATTTATTACAATATTGTTCTGGAGAACTAACATGCTTTGGTAACGCTGTCAAATTAAAAGCGTCAGAATGGTTTATTTTACTTACCGTTGGTTCCTTCGGGCCTTTTTTCTTTGCTTCATCATCAGTGCAACACGAGTGCATACCTCAAGCAATCCTAGGAATGGACGTAATTTGTCAAGCTAAATCTGGAATGGGAAAGACTGCTGTCTTTGTTCTCTCGACTTTGCAGCAGATTGATCCTGTTCCGGGTCAAGTATCTGCACTTGTTCTATGTCATACTAGAGAACTAGCTTACCAGGTACTTTTTTGGGGCATCAGAATAAGAAAGTTATGGAATTTGTTATATTAGATTATTTTTGATTCAAGGCTTGCAACCTTTTCCTTTCAGATATGCCATGAGTTTGAGAGGTTTAGCACATACTTAACCGATCTGAAGGTTGCTGTCTTTTATGGTGGGGTCAATATCAAAGTTCACAAGGATCTGTTGAAAAATGAGTGCCCTCAAATTGTTGTTGGAACACCTGGAAGAATACTAGCATTGGCTAGAGATAAGGATCTTTCTTTGAAGAATGTTAGACATTTTGTTTTAGATGAATGTGATAAGATGCTCGAATCACTCGGTATGTGCTGAATGACTTCTGTTCAGTTGAATACTACAACTGGTCTTATGTTATTTTCCATATGTTTTTTATTGTTCTTATAAATATTATGCTTTTTGCAGACATGAGGAAAGATGTTCAAAACATTTTCAAGTTGACTCCCCATGACAAGCAAGTTATGATGTTTTCAGCAACACTCAGCAAGGAAATCCGCCCAGTCTGCAAAAAGTTTATGCAAGATGTAATGTCTCATGGCCAATACTACTTGAATTTGAAGTCTCTTTATCATACTGCCCACATTCCCTGAGAGATTTTTAGTTGTTTCAAATGCTATGGTTTCACCGATCTTTACTTCTGATAAGGTTTCTGTTTCAGTACTGCTTTTCATTTGTTCAATGTTTACTAAGCACACAGCTGGTGAGGTTGAATGGGATTGCCACTGGATTGGAATGGAAGATGTGGATGGGATTTTTAGTAATGCTCCTGACCGTGGGGTTATGTAATTTTGTCTGCTCTTTTTGTTCATGTTGGAAGTTTGTTTTGTCTCTTATATGCTAGTGTTGGGTATGGGCTTTTTGCAATGTTGATTGTTCTTTTTCTTTTGGGAGGGGGCGGGGGGGTATTTTGGCTTTTGCTGCCATTTTTCTTTAGGTGTAAGTGCCCAATGTCCGTGGCAAATAGAAGTTTATGCAAGGAGACAAAACAGGGCGGACAAGAACTGTGATTCAAGGGATCTGCATCCATCATTCATTTCGTTGTGCATCCATCAAGGGAACTGTGATTCAACGGACTCTAACATAATTTACTGTCAAATTTGTTCCTTTCAGCCTATGGAAATTTATGTTGACGACGAAGCCAAGTTAACCCTTCATGGACTTGTTCAGGTAGGCGTTTTGGAAGTTACTTATATCTGGTAAAGTTTCGTCCTTTTAAAATGTCTGGTCTGTATGGCTTACTTTGTTTGTCGTGGCAGCACTACATCAAATTGAAAGAGGAGGAGAAAAACCGCAAGTTGAATGATCTTCTTGATGCACTAGACTTCAACCAAGTTGTTATCTTTGTGAAAAGTGTTAGTAGAGCAGCTGAGCTGGACAGACTACTCATAGAATGCAATTTTCCATCTATATGCATTCACTCTGGAATGTCCCAGGAAGAAAGGTTTGTTTTATGAGATAACATGGGATGCTTAGGAAGTGTTTTCATTGATTTTTGATGATTTAAATGGCCAAATTTTGTTTGTTTTGTTATTATGTTCTCTTTTCCAAAGTTTTTTGGGATTTAATATACCTCTTGTCTAAGCATTTTCAGTACTCATCAATCTTATCTGGGATATTAACATGGGATGCTTAGGAAGTGTTCTCATTGATGTTTGATGATTTAAATGGCCAAATTTTGTTTGTTTTGTTATTATGTTCTCTTTTCAAAAGTTTTTTGGGATTTAATATACCTCTTGTCTAAGCATTTTCAGTTCTCATCAATCTTATCTGGGATATTATATTTAAAAACAAAATAGCACATTTGTGTAAAATTTTTAAATATAAGAGATTTGTTCGATGCTATTAATGAGGAATGAGGGTTTCAATGTACTAGTGCTATAGCAAAGATCACTTTTGATTTGAAAGAACAAGTTCGTATTTGTAATTTTTTAACTGTATGAATGACAATGGATGTTCAGGGGAGAATTGTTTCTCTTGGTACCTAAACCTTAATTATTTATTGACAGCTTCGCTGCAGCAGGCTTATTATATTAATCTGCTGTTTTGTCATTGTTTTACCCTGTTTCACGGTTACAAAGTGTTGGATGAATGATGACATCTGTGTATAATCTTCAATTATTTTGTAGGTTAAAGCGATATAGAGGTTTCAAGGAGGGGCATACAAGGATTCTTGTTGCTACAGATTTGGTTGGTAGAGGGATTGACATTGAACGTGTCAATATTGTTATAAACTATGACATGCCCGACTCTGCAGACACTTACTTGCACAGGGTAGGGTATAAATAAACACGATCTGTCTTGATTTTGATATTTCATTAATTTTTTTTCCATTAAATTTGGGTTTAATGTAGTCTGACTCTTTTGGAGGGACATTGTACAGGTTGGCCGAGCTGGAAGATTTGGTACCAAAGGCCTTGCAATCACATTCGTTTCATGTTCTACTGATGTTGATGTTCTCAACAATGTAAGAGACAAACTTGTTGTCAATATTTTGTTGTCCATTAGCATTTCTAATTATGTTTTGGTGTGATTTGCAGGTTCAATCAAGGTTTGAAATAGATATAAAGCAGCTTCCTGAGCAGATTGATACTTCTACCTACAGTAAGTGCTTTTTCATTAATTGATTTTTAATTCCTGTAATGGTTTTTTGTAGAATTGAATTGGAATTATAGTCTAGAAAGTTATTAATTTATTTATGTTTTTCTCTGGAAAGTTCATTTACTTTTCATTGAATTCCTGTCAAATTCTAATGGTCAATCATTTAATCCATTTGTCAATTTCAAACACTAGACTTTTATCAATGCATTAAAAAAGCTTGAATTGTGCTTTCCTAAAATTGGTTTAGTATCTCTTTGTGAAACCTAAATTTTAGATATATGTTTCATGATATTACGGAAACAACATTTTTTTCTTCTGTCCTTGGAATTTTAGAAATATTGATCAATTTTGTGTCATCTAAAATTTTACACTGTTGAGTCTCTTGCTTGGTTTTCGTCTATTTGCAGTGCCATCATAGAGGGAAACATTTGTGCTGTTTAGATGGTATGAGGGCCTCGTCTCCTGAATTTGTTGGAGTATTTTGGAAAGTGCAGCTGATGATTTGACCATGCTGATGCCAGGTCCTGTTATGCAGACTAGGCCACATTACCATTGATCGATGTTTGATACTCTGTAGACGTTGCTTCAATGTGTTGTACTTTTAATGATTGTGTTTGCATTATTAGGTGGTTGAGTTGGATATACTTAAGGGCTACAATTGAATATCTTTCTGGTTTTGTAGTTATATACTTAAGGGCTACAGTTGAATATCTTTCTGGTTTTGTAGTTATAACTTAAGGGCTACAGTTGAATATCTTGCTGGTTCTGTAGTTTGTGTCTTTGATTTTTGTTCAGAGATCACATTTCTAAAATGACATTGCTAAATATTAAAAAAGCACTCCTATTTAAAAAATAAAATTGTTATGTTCTTGGTGGAAATCACAGGTAGGTTATTGTATAAATCTACTGCTCTAAAATATTGTTGAGTGCCTTAAGCGGGTGTCTTTGATAGAATGAGCAATTTCAATTTTCAATATGATTTTTGAGAAGTTCATTTCTTTTGGATGCTGTGGTTTTGGTCCTTTATTCGTCACCTGGATGATATTGTGAATTTCAGGTCCGTGGGAAGGAAAATGTCTGCATTTTTATTATGTATTTTTCTGGTAAAAAACTTATATTTTTGATTTTGTTTTTGCATCAACTGCTATTTAAACTTTTAAGTCTTCCTTGTTTGGGATTAGAGCTTGATTCAATTATCTAAATATCAGATAAAAAGTTTCATGAAATAAAAAAAAATCAGATAAAAGAGTTCCTGGTATTTTTTTTTGAAGTTTGCATGTGAACGGCTTGATGGCTAAGTATTTATTTCAAGTAAATGGAAATTTTCCGTAATCTAAAAATGAATTATTTTGCTAAAAATAAAAAACTAATTCAGCTAGCTTTATGCTTTAAGAAATACCATTCGGCTATAGATGAAAGAGAAAGTAAAAATGAAAATATGGAAAATTTCATTTTAGTGAGTTAGTTACCCTAAAAGCTTTTGAAAATTAAAAAAAATGCCTTTCTAGGATTTGGCTTCATTTTGTTCGAATCTCAAATGTAGTGCCATCTTCTTCCTCTCTGTTTCAAAGTTTCGTTCTGAAAGCGGTGCTGGTTGTCATAGTAGAATTTAGTTGCTTTATGTATTGTTACTACTAAGAATATGGCTGCATAAATCAACGTCCCACTTAGCTGGCATGCAAAAACCTTGATAACTCACTTTCCTCTTAATAGTATGAAGTATTAACCAGGAAATTTAAGGTGTCACTAGAACAATTCACTAGAGTGCTTTGACAACAATTCTAATCCTAACTATGTTCAAAACTTTTATCGGTTGGCATTGTTTCATTTGACTGTGCTAACATGAATAAGGAGAATGTGAATGAGATTATTGGTTTCAACATCATTTTCATGTGATGTCGCCTATGTCTATTGAATATCCACCAAATATATGTCTTAATCAATATATGCTGCAAACTATACTCGTGGAGTGGCTTTTATAAGGGTTACATTTCTAATGATGTTGCAAAAAGTGCGGTTCTTTTTCTCATACCAGCATTGCTTGGCAGCAAGGTTTTAAAAAATGTCTGCGACCGTGAAGTTAAACATCATTTTAAAGTTTAAAGTGAGAGATATAAACCATTGCTGACAAATTAGACTGCTGATATACTGATAAATTTGTGATCTCTCACAAGGTTCAAATAAATATGGTATACATCATTAAAGCAACAAACATAATAATTTCTCTCTTATTCAATAATATGGGAAAGTCCCATATATACACTGAATAAAACAAGCATCTATCCTATAAAGTAGCCAGGGTAGTTGAGAAAGAAACGATAAAGTAAAACAAAAGGGACAAAATATAATAAGATGACTTAAGTTGTAGTTTCTATATGTGAGACACACCCATAAGCTGGACTATGAAATGTGACACTCAAAAACTGTTTGTACAACTGCTTGGTTAAGAAGTCAACAATTTGAATCTGCGTGCTTATAGGAAATAGTTTGATTAGGTCAACTTCAATCTTTTCACGAATGATAAGACAATCGATCTTGATATGTTTAGATCTTTTGTAGAATGAAGGACCGTGAGTCAGATATATCGCAGAGTTGTTGTCACAATAAATCAAATTTGGGTGGGTGAAAGAGCTACTAAGACTCTTAAATAGGTAGTGTAGCCATTGTATTTCATATGTTAGACTATCTAGAGTTCGATATTCTGCTTCAGAACTGCTCCACAAGCCGTGCTTTGCTTTTTGAATTTCCATGAAGTGAGAGATGTGCTAAGGAATACCATGTAATATTCCAAAATAATTAGATCGTTTATTTAATTATTTAATTATATTATAATGAATAATTGTGATATATTTGCGAGTTTATGTGATGTTTTGATGAATATGATGTGCGATGTGATGCTATGTGTAGTATAGTGGAAAATAAGGAGACATTGAGTAATTTAAATAATTTAGATAGTTAGAGTAATTATTTAGAATTATTTTAATTGGAGAAAATAGAAATAATAATATGATGTAGAGATGAACAATTTTGAATTAGTTAGAGTAAGTATTTTTGTATGAACAATTTTGGAACTCTAATGTTTTTTATTTTTAGAATTTAACAAACAAGTTTTGATTCTGATGAAAGGCACTACCAAGTCATTGGAAGAGTCCAAGTTCCGCTTCTGTGCTGCACAAGTTCTGATGAACAGTAGAAAATCACTTCTGAAGGCTTTGAAGTTTGGACTCTGATACACGGTCAAGAAACCAAGTTTTGAAGATCTAAAGACAGAAGTTCTGATGAACAACTCAGATGTTAAAGACTTATGTTTATGAAGACAATGAATTTTAAAGACAAAGTGTTGAAGTTTCTGAAAACGAAGTTCTGAAGACTCTGAAGACTTGAAGTTCTGATGACCCAAGTGGTATTCTCTTTCTTCTAATGCATGCTTAATCAGAAGCATCTAACATCAAGAAAAAAAGAAGATAATATTACGTGGTACAATAGTACATGGTACAAACGAATATTTCATTCCACTACCATAAAGTACGAACGCGTTGTACGATCTTGTCCCCCACGTAGAATCAAGCTGCCAACTTTCTGGAAATTCCATAAATACCCTCCAACATATATATTATTTTATTGACTATATATATGCTTGAAGACTCAAAGAAAAAGGTTTCTAATTCACACGTTCTCTCAAAAAATCATTCATAAGCATTCCTTATTTTCTTAAGTCTATTTGTTCTAGAAATACTGTTTACTATCAGCTTGTGTAGAAGCAAATCTATTGTAAATAAATATTTTTCAAACTTTTGTTTGATTGTGCCTTAAGGGATCCGTTGGTTAGAATCCTTAAGAAGTCTAATATTAGTGTGTCTTAGAGGTTGTACGTAAGTCACTTGCAGTTAGCTTGTGTATTATAATGATCTGGTGATTATTAGATTAAGACCTTGTTTGATAAGGTGAAATCACCTTGGCGGATGGACTAGACTAGCTTGATAATTTTCAAGTGAACTAGTATAAACATAACTTGTTCTTTTCTTCTTGCATCGTTAACTTATATTGCACACAAGAAATAAACAAAAATGGAAACACAAACTAGTACTGAAAACAAACAAGAGGAAACAAACAACTAATGAAAGCAAACCCATGTTGAGAAGTTATTACAGGACCAAACAATAAAATAATAAAAATTCATCTTTCAAATCAGCTATCTAGACCAACCACCTGAGTCAATAAAATTGACCCAATCTTCATCACTATCTGAGACAGAGTCATGCAAATGAACATGAATTTTCTTGCAGATCTTCATCTTTGTCATAAACTTTTTCCCTGTTACAGATGCCCCAGTAGATGTTCTAACAAATGTTTCCACCTTGGATTCAATCTTCTTTGGATCAACACCCTTATCCTTCTTGGCTTCCAAAAAATGAACCTTCTTAGCAACAACATTTTTCGAATATTGACTTATGTTGAAACACAGTTTGAGAGGAACAATAACCAATAAGGTATTAATTGAAATGAGAGTTACATTGTTTGTAACGATACCTTATTTGTAACCTGAGACTAGTCAAGAAGTTTTTTTTGAAAGAAGTATAATCATTCTTATTATTAGCGCACCACTTGTTACGAGAGAGATACTTTCTTGTTCTTCCTTTTCTCTTCCCAAGCTTTGATTTCTGGAGACTCCCACAACATTTGAACTGACTTTGACTTTGTTAGAAATAACCTCATCCCAACACGTGAGTGCTCTCATTCATCAGCAGTACATCTTTCCAAACACACCCCTCAAACTCTTAATATGATTTGCATTTAAGTCCAAATAAAATATCTCCTAGTAGACTCTATGAGGTCTCAAGCTTAGGAGTATCACTTTTTCCAGTAGCGAGACAATGAGCTTTGTCCCATTGTGCAAACTGACATCCTTGAAAACACAAACTGAAACCAACATGTCACAGTACAATGTCATGACATCATATTGAATATTGTATTCTTTTAGAAACTAAATCAATTGAGAGCAACAACTTCCTTCAGAATTATACATAATCTTAGGTAAAATCTAGAATACAAAAATTGATTTATTGCTGAACTAAGAGACAATATTGTTTCTCAAGAAGAAATGTCCTTGACAACTCATAAATAGACATCAAAACTCAAAAAATAACGGTGATCTCTTAAAAATAATTAATGAATTCCTTTGAATAACCTTTCTGAATGCAAGAGGGAACTTTGTTGACTTGAGAGCTCTTTGATTCTGTTCCTTCTAGCTTTTAAGAGACTACACCATTTCTTGAATTCAATCTACTGAGATGATGTAACATCTGCTTCAACATCAGTTCCTTGCTTAAAGATTGAATCATGGAGTTTAATTCTGAGGTTAACATCTCTATATGCTTTGTTCTTGTTAAAGTAACCCAGACATATTCATTCATCTCA